GATCCCAGGGTCCTGGGATTGAGCCCCACATCGGGCTCTCTGCTCAGCAGGGAGCCTGCTTCCTCCTTTCTCTCTCTTTGCCTGCCTCTCTGCCTACTTGTGATCTCTGTCTGTCAAATAAATAAATAAAATCTTAAAAAAAAAAAAAAAAAGAAAATCCTTAACCATGGGGCGCCTGGGTGGCTCAGTGGGTTAAGCCTCTGCCTTCGGCCCAGGTCATGATCTCAGGGTCCTGGAATCGAGCCCCGCATCAGGCTCTCTGTTCAGCAGGGAGCCTGCTTCTCCCTCTCTCTCGGCAAGCTGCTCTGCTTACTTGTGATCTCTCTCTCTGTCAAATAAATAAATAAAATCTTAAAAAAAAAAAATCCTTGGGCACCTGGGTGGCTGGCTCAGTGGGTTAAAGCCTCTGCCTTCAGCTCAGGTCATGATCTCAGGTCCTGGGATCGAGTCCCACGTTGGGTTCTCTGCTCAGCAGGGAGCCTGCTTCCCCCTCTCTCTCTGCTTGCCTCTCTGCCTACTTGTGATCTCTCTCTCTGCCAAATAAATAAATAAAATCTTTAAAAAAAAAAATCCTTAACCCTAAAGGAAATCCAGTCCATCAGGTCAGTGTGCCAAATCTGGAGTTTATCTGGGACAACTTATACTGAACTTGGACTTGGTGAAAGAAAAAACTTCTACTACTGCGAAACCTGGTATGATTGCTGCCTGCTACCACTTCACAGAACAGAAAAAAGGATATGGTTATGATATTCCTATTTCCTAAATCATAAATCAAGATGTGGTTTCTAATACATATGAACTGCCAGAATGTTTATACAGAATGTCTGAAATAAGTGCTCTTAGAAAAATTTAGAATGTTCTCTAAGTGTATGCCATGTATCACTAAGTATTTACCTCAAAAGTATTTTTTAAAAAGATTTTTATTTATTTATTTGGCAGGCAGAGATCACAAGTAGGCAGAGAGGCAGGCAGTGGGGGCGGGGGTGGGGAAGCAGGCTCCCCACTGAGCAGAGAGCCCGATGCAGGGCTCAATCCCAGGACCCCAAGATCATGACCCAAGCCGAAGGCAGAGGCTTTAACCCACTGAGCCACCCAGGTGCCCCATACCTCAAAAGTTTTTTTATTGTTTTGTTTTCCTCCCAGAAAAGCCATCCTCATAATAGTTGGGGGGGGGGAGGCAGAGAAGGAAATTTCAGTATCCATCACAGAATATTAGTAGGAGAAAAACAGACAGGAAAGACTTATCAGAGCAATGGGAAAGGCAGGAGACCCAAAGATGATGAGCAAATGTAGGCTCCAGGGACTCAGCCGAGCAATCTCTCAAGATTGATCTGTTCCGCAGGACCTGGTTAGATAAACTGTCAGAAGAAAGTCATGAAGTGGAAGAACAGCTCACCTGTCCCTAATGAGAGAGGAAGTCTGAGGGTTTCCCAGGCATGATTAAAGTTGGAAGTAGATGGGTCCCAAAGCTTGATCACTGAGGCGGTCTTCAGATTAGGTATCTAAACCTCTTGGGATTAGAGTCTAAACTGGGGTCAGAACACTCATGTTTATAAACTATAATCCTCAAACCTGGCACTCCTTTCCTCTCAGAGCAAAGAGATGCATTTTAGAGAGGTCCTAATGCCGGCAGGGAAATACACTAGGGCTATTCCTGTATTGAGATTCAGAAGACCTTCTGTTTACATTACTTGAATCTTGAAGGGTGGCGACATGCTATTGTACTTTCAGGTGGTAGTAAGTAGAGAACCAGACAAACTACCCCTTTCCTGGTACTGACTCTGAAGAATACATAAACTTTAGCCACATGATGGCATGGTGAGTCTACCTATAGCCTTTCCTAGGATGGGGGTGGGAAGAGGTGAGGAGTGGAAGGAGAACAAGACCCGAAAACCACCGAGAGACTCAAGGCAAACCATCCTGGACTTGTCAGTGTCACTGAGGAGCGATGGAAGGGAGGGACAAGAGACAATAGGAATGTGTATTTAACCTAGAGCAACCAACAATCAGGCAATTTAACGTTGGATAAATATCAAAATTTTCCATTGATATTTTCCCATTTTCAGGTTAATTTTTTTAGGCCTATGATTTTTTTCTCTCCAACCTGTATTTTAAAAAGGCAGGCTTGTCAAAAAGACTGGAAGGACCAACTTAAATTTAGCCAGGGCAATACTGCTTAAAACAGCTTGCCTTGTTTCTTTAGAATGATTTGTGTGTTTCTGATTGTTAGGATAAGGACTATATTTAGAATAATTTATTAGTGATAACAGTTCTTATCTAACAATGGGAAGATATCAAAGAGAAAAAGCCTCACAAGATTCAAAGGAATAATTCTTGAGTGATAACATTTTAAGTCACTGTAACATGTTAAAGGATAATTTTTGGCCTACGGTGAGGTGAAAATCAATCTGGACACCTAAAATTCTCACCTGTTGAGTACTATTCAACCATGTCTAGTCTAGGGTCATCCTACATACAGTGCCTGAGATAGTTTTAAGACTTTTCAGAATTCCACAACCACAATACCATCCAGAATTAATAAAAAATGCCCTCAAGTATTTAAAAACCAAATCTGAGAATCACTGTGTTGAAGTATCCAATTACTTCTGAGTTAGCAGTCTATTAATACGTTTCTGGTTCTCTTCTGAAACCTCTGATTCTACAGATGATGACCTGTTCAACACCAACAGTGGGATGTTCATTCAGTTTGGCATGGACGTATACTGGCTCCGTGCCAGTAACAAGGGGATGCTCAATAAATGTTTATTGTTCAAGTCAACTGCATTGTATTCAACTCGATTGCCTAGCAGAGTCAAAATGAATTCCTTTAAAAATAGTCTTTTATTCCAAGGCACACACCAGTCCACAAAGCACAGTGTGTTGCAAAGAAACCCAGTTCTGTGCACACGGATAAAAGCTGCAGAGGTTAATTCTTTTTGTTTAGATTACATGGATTCCAATCTGGAAGGCTTGGAGAGGGAGTAAAATGCTGCGATGCTAATATAGATTGCTTAGCCATCTAGAAACTAGCTACACTTATGGGAGGTGTTGGCATGGGGGAACACTCTCACTAGACCAAGGGAATGTAGATTACTATCCACTCAAGTGTAAAACAAAACCATTTTAAAACAAAAAGCTTTAGCTTAGCTTTAAAAAAAAAAAGAGAGAGAGAGAGAGAACTTTGAGACTTATAAAAGGTATACTGTCTAGGTAGAGAACACAAAATTCCATTTCTGACTAGACAACTAAATTTAACTCTTGCCTAATCCTAGGATTTGGAGCATCTTGTGAAGAATAGTAAAAAGGGTGAATAATAAAAAAAGGAATTTAGTTTCTAAACTTTTGTGTCTGTGACTTAAAAACAGACATAAAAAGTTAAAGCCAGTTCTGTGATTTTTATAACTATGGGACCTTTTCTTTCAGAATTTTTTTTTCAGATCCCCAACTAGAAAAAAAGGAGAGGGACCAGAATATAAAAACTAATTTGTACTTGTAGTTCGCTGCAAAAAAAAAGAATAACTAGAATGCTAGCAATAAATGTCCATTCTTTTAGAATACATACTTGATTAAAAGACTATCAAAGGGGATTCTTCTCCCTCTCTCCTCCTAAACGTAACACCAGTTAGAAAAAGACATAATATTCCATGCCCCCACCCACATTTTTTTTCCCCCCAAACACAAGCAGTTTAGAAACAAAGGGCTACATTTGCCCTCATCTCATGATGCTGTTCACGTTTGTGTTAGCCCTTCCTAGACTCTATTCTGACAGCAGATAAAAGGGAGGCATCTCTGCCGCTTGGTTTTTTTCCTCTGGCCACAGTTTTCCATTAGAGTGAGAACAAGACCTAAAGATATTTGACTTTCTGGAAAACTGTAAAATTACAAACTTCATAATCACAATTAATATGTTTTAAAGTCCTTCAAAATGGAAACATGAATATAACTTTAGATAGGCCTACAGTTACCTTTCAGGAGTGTGCTGAAGTTGAAATTTGAATAAATCCATTAGAAAAGCTGATGAACATTCAGAACTAAGAAGTCATCAAAGTCAGAGACAAATAGCTGTAATTCTTTTTTATAATTCTTGTATAATTATTTTTTTCACTACTTCATTTTAATGGTCTCTGCTTTTTCTTTTCTTTTTTAGGTAGAACTAAATCGGCCTGCTTACGAATAACAGAGAAAACATTGCACTTTTGCAACTACAGGGCAATAGCGACCTTATTTTTTCATTTTACTTTTGAAAAATAAACTCAATTACTTTAAGCACTTTAAAAACCTCGTTCTTACAAATAATTTTATTCTATTCTACTGGTAGAACACTGTTCCGCAACTGATTAGATTTATCTATGGATTTAAATATTGAAGTCATTGGCTCAGCATCACTTCAAATGCCCCAGTCAGTTAGGATTCTGCCCAATCTCAGCCCACAATTATTTTGTCATTGGAAAGCAACTTAAAAAAGAAAACAAGCAAACCAGGGAAGCTTTTAAAAAGTCGCAATAAAGATGCTCGAACATTAGTCATTTTTCAAAGTGCATTAAAAAAAGAGGGGATCTGTTTCACTTGGGAAGAATTCAGTTTGCTTCCCAGTGACACAATTCCTAAGCAGTGGTTTGGCTTGTCACTGAGGGGTACACAGCTGTGCTGGACAGCTTTCTGATGGGGTGACTTCTTTCTCTGTCACACATAACAATGCTGACTAGCATGAGAATGCACACTGCCAAATGTATTGTTATTATTTTTAAAATATGTGGTTGAGAACACTAAATAGAATTCATCCTTTCAAAATAACAGTTTAATGAAATTGACTCTCGTACCATAGGAAAATAAAGCATTTGGGGAGAAAACGTTTAATCCTGAAAGAGTTAGCTCAGTGAAATTTCTTTTTGGACATTGTGTATAGCTGAGCAGAAACCTAGAAAATATTAAAGACTAAATACAATGGGGATTTTGTTGTTGGTGGTTTTGTTTGTTGTGGTGTTACTATTTCCACTCACCAGCTCGAAGGGGTCGTGGAACTCCCCCAACAAAGATAGTTTTTCTGGGGTCCAAAGGCTGAGAACCATCCATTACAAAGTCACTGTCACTTAGGTTCCATGGTCGAATTTGCACCTGAAAAAAAGTCGTTTACTTGGTCCTTACTTCATTTCCATCAACCCCAAATGAGAATAAGGTGACTAAAGACAAACCCACTGATTTGTGCATTTTACACATACATAACCCAAACAAAATCCAGTTATTAATTTATGTTATCTGCATTAGGTGCCTTTCACCAGAACTTGGGGGATCTACTTACAGGTACTCTACTCAGCACTCTAAGACATATACCATGAAACCTTCAGAAACCACCCGTGGTTTTGAAAAAAAGCAGACTTTTAGAGACAGACTTGGGGTTTTGAATCGGATCCATTTTAACACATGATAGACTGTTTATAACCTGTCACAGTTCAGCACTTAGCTTTTTAAGAGCTCACCTAAAGAAAGGGAACAGGGATATGAGGAATATGTTGTAAAAATTATCTGTAGGTCTGGCTTTTAATTTTTTATCAACCCCTAAAATTGAAACATTCATCTTTCAGAAATATGGTTTAACACAGATCAACACTCATCGGGTTAGCATGGAATTACCAGCAATATCAAATATTGAAGCACACAGCTTATCTATTTTTGATTTATCTGATTTTCTTAAACCAGTTTGGTTAAATAAAGGTGAACCTAGAAACTGAAGTTATTTTTCAAAGAGTAGAAAAAGAAATCTTTATGGACATACTTCTTTCTATTTGGTACTATCTCTTCACCGGTACTCTGACTTCCTGCCTTCAAAAAACAAGGTATTTCATCAGAATTGTAACCTTAAAACATATTCCTTTCAATCCTTAACTCAATCATCAAAGAATAACTTAAAACAAAACCACACACACACAAAAACCCTCCCATAACAAAAGGAGAGCTTCAGTACTACCTGAGAATCAACCAGTTACTCAGCCGGGCAAGTGCTCTGGGAAATGAGCTAGGTAGAAGTAGAGAACCAATGTCTATCTTTAGGGAACACACACCTCTCCTTTCCCAGTCTCTCTGATAGGATAGGAAACATAACAGCTGAATTTTCATTTCCTTAGTATCAACACAATTTTTCATTTTCCCCATGGCTCAACTGTCAACACTTAATGCAAAAAAACACATAAGATGATTTCTTATGTGGCTTGACTGGTATCTAGAAGACTCTCATTTGAAAGGTAGTACATCTGTCAATTACAGTTTCAAACCACTTTGAATCAACTCTAGAACTGGCATTGCTCAGTTAGAGACAGTCCACAGATTCCTTATGATTGCTAGTGCAGCCCCTCCCCAACTTTTTGCCATTTATGACACTGTTGCCTTCACTAGTTTGTGAGAAGCAGTAAAATCTCCATTTCTTCCGTAGACCCTGAAAACGTGGACCTGTTTTCAGTTCAGCTGATGTTTAAGCATTTGTTTCACCTTTATCATGTGAAAAAAAAAAAAATTCTTGTTCTTCTCTTGAAATATTTCATCTATTTGACCAAAGTACTGTTCCCTTGACATTTATCACATAGGCGGATTCACGAATACCATAAAGCACCGCTTTTAAATTCCTTCATGAGGGCCCACTACTAATTTTTAATTAAGAACATAATTTCTTCATAATGTAAGAACAAAGAGTCTAATGTCCCCACTAACAAAAACGTAGGACATATCTTTTTCTACACAGAACCCTCTCTTCTTCCAGCCTCATCCTTGATAAATTTAAGGCAGCTTCAGGACCTGGTAAGGCAATTCCAATCATTTAGTGATGACTGAATTTAATTGTGGGTCACTTTGTTTCACAAATGAAAACAATTCCCTTGTAGTATCCATGGCGTTCTGGTTTCATTTAATCAGAAGTACAGAAAATGCAGCCTTCTATAATAGCTGTAGGTTACTGCTGCTCAGAAAAACTCCCCAGAAGATCGCAAACCTTCCTGCTGAGAGCTTTCATTACTGGCTCTTCTCCCGCCCACCCTTGCTTCGTTACATCACATACAACCCATTCCCTTAGCTATTCTTGTATTATAGATTAGGTAAAAATACAGGAAGAAGACTCAAGAGACAGTAATGATTAAACCCTATTCACAGAACCTGCATTTCCCAGCTGCCACGAGAAAAATAGCTCCTCAGAGCTCCCACCACCACAGAATCAGAGAAATGTCAACATAGGCCAACATCAGCACATTCTACACACTAAGCAAAAAGTAATACTGTGGTACTGTTTGCACTGGGAAGTTCCATTCACACTCTGTTTTCCCTCTGAAATATAAGCTCGCTCTCACATAAGGCATGTTCTCCACCTTCTAAGTTTATTTTCAGCCCTCAGGGCCTGATACCCATATTTTATCTTTCTGACTTACTCTTTGAATATATTTTCTGGTCCTCACTTATATATGTAGGTATTTCTCTACCTTTTAAATACCATGCTTTTTAAACTGACTCAAATATACTGTAGAAAGGAGCAGAATACAAATAAAAGAACAGCTTTTTTATTATCTTCATTTATTTAATAATTATTGTTGAGACTGGATGAAATTAGAGCTCTGTTCTAATTCAATATAAACTTCCCCCAGCAAAACAACCTCTACATATATAGGCATCACTGAGTGTATGTGTGAAACAACGCTTCCAGTATGTTGTCAAATAGGCTATACTCTGGGCGGTAAGAGCCTCAACATCCTGAGGGCTGGGAGTTTAGGGACTTCATCAGAGAGGGTGGAAATTCCCTTACATGAGCCTGACAGTGATTCCAACACTCCTTCCTGGAGAAACCTGATCACATTTGCTTAAAAAGGTCACTCTAGAAAGAGGCACGGCCCATTGGCCTTCAGCTATGCCATGTCCTCATAGTAGGGGTTACGCAAAACCAAATGTCCACAGGGATGGACAGGTAGCACAGACTTATCAGCCACCAGAGCAGTTAGTCGTTAGGCAGGCAAAGACACCCGGGAGTAAAATGTTCCTTTTAAAGGAAGCAGACACTTCTCAGCTCCAGCAAGTAATTATTGTTTGTGAATGTGTTGCCAGATTTTTCCATTTTTGAAAAGTAGCTAGAAATTCAGATTTTTATGTGGAACTTCAAGGTTTTAATTTTATGCTGAGAAAGAATTAAAATGTTAAAGCCACTGTACAGCTAAACCAAACTAACGGCAGACCAGATCTATCTTGTGGGCCTCAGACTTGTGATCTCTGACTGAAAGGTTTACTTTCTAGTAAACCCCATAGCTCCCAATGGAATGTGGTCTTTCATAAACAATCATGAGAGAAAAAACAAAAATGGTTTTTCCTTGGTTTCTTTTTTAAGCGTGTATTCCTATGGAAGCTCTGGTGAGGATCGTGAAACCTACTCTTTGGCTGGATTACTTGCTTCTTAATTCTTAAGAATAATCTGAATTAATATCTGAATTAATAATCTTCCTTGCATAATTGCTTATCTCCAAAGGCAAATCTTTTTAAGGATAAAGACAAAAACCAACGTAAAGGTGGTGCTATTAATATATCAATTTGTGCCATAGAGTGTCTCTAACAGACTTCAAGAAGCCTAAAAGTATGTAACATTAATCATATCAACAGTTAGTACTGAAAGCACTCATTTTCCTTTTCAAGGATTCCCAATGTATGTTCTGTGAACAAGTCTGTAGGGTTGTTCTGCCAGACATGCAGTGTTTAGGAAAAGTTACAGGCTCTCTTCCTTCTTGGAGTTTCATGGCACCCATTGGTGTATATTAATCAAAGGCCCTTGGTAGGGTTATGGACATTGGGGAGGGTATGTGCTATGGTGAGTGCTGTGAAGTGTGTAAACCTGGCGATTCACAGACCTGTACCCCTGGGGCTAATAATACATTATATGTTTATTAAAAAATTTAAAAATTAAAAAAAAAAAAACACACGTCGGAGTAAAAAAAAAAAAAAGGCCCTAAGAAATTCTACAGTAAAGAAATCTGTTCAAATATTGTTTAATCCAGCATTTCCAAAAATTTTCTCATAACAACTACTAACATCCACACTTTGGTAATACTGCCCAATTATATCTTACTCTTAGTATGTAACAAAATATGGCATAACAAGGCTGAACCAACTGAACAAAATGTAGAAACTTCACTCCAATCACAGCTTTTTTTCACCTATTTCCTGCTATTGCTCTAAAAGGGTTGTTCTTATAGAAATTAACTTTAAGTGGTTAAGAGCATAGTAAATATAAATAATAGCTCAAAAAAAATTGAAAGCTTTCTGACTAAACTGCACAAAAGAGATGTTTGGCTATTTTGATACCAATAAAGAATAAAATATTTAATTACAGTCCCATGTAAAAACCGAAGCGTCAGCCTATGTAAAACTAAAAGTCATTCACAGGGATAAGAGCAGGCCAAGTGTTAGGAAAAAAAAATTTAAGAAATAGAGTGTGGGTCACTTATTTTGACAAGAAGATATAAGATCATTTTTTAGAAATTAATTTCATCAAAAATTTGCAAAAGCCTCTAAGTAAAAATTCAATATAAAATACATTTTTATTGTATCTTTAATAACTGGATAAGAGAAAACACATAGCTTTAGTAAGAACAGTTTTTTAACATAACAACTACTAACATCCACACTTTAAGTCTTCACACATGACCAAGCCACCCTATGGCTCTAGAATTCTCTGTTTAGACCACTATTTAGAATTTAGACATTTATCTACTAGTAAATAACAGTACCTTCAGCTCATTTTGAACATCTCACCTATATTTCATCCTCGTCTGATCATCTCTTTAGGTTACAAACATCCAACACAGGAACGTCCTACTGCATAGGGCACTCCTTTTCATCTCTTCATCTCAAGACCACGCCACAAAGCAACCAAACTGTTCAGAGTCAACAGTGCAATCTGGTGGCCAGCACAGGAAACTACCTGATCAAAACCCCTTCCCTGCTGTTTTCTTTCCCTTGAGTTTCCCATAAAGTATATGGTGTAGCCTCCCTACCCCCCATTTCCTCTTTCTTTTTTCTATACCCTTCAAACTCCTACTCAGGAGGAGGTCTCCATTTTTCTCTCCCTAGTCATATAATCCTTTCAATCTACATGA